ATTGCTTGAACTCCTGAATAATTTCCCGTGCCAACTGGTTGGCCCAATGAGTTTAAAATAATAAATTCACACTCCTCTCTTGTTCGTGCATGTTTGACCTCGATGCCTTTTGCTTTAGAAGCTTTTTTAGGTTCTGTTTCTATTTATATATTTGTAAGAAACATGTTACAAGATAGAGGTTACAAATACATCAACTAAATACTATAATAACGAGAATGCAAACTGAATCAGGAGTTCTTGTCATCAAATTTTTGAATATGTTTGGACTATATTGTAGAGTTGGAAACAAAATAAGTTCAGCATAAGAAATATCTCTCTAAATCAAAGCAGCTAAATATGTTTACTGTCACAAATAGATATAGGTCAAGTTATACGTATTTTTTCTTGTGGGCCAGTAGATATCAAAACAATGTTGAATTAATTAAGCAAGGAAGCAATAACGGAGTCTTTTAGAAAACAGTGTTGAATTAATTAAAACATTTATGCTAAAGGGAACAGAGCCTTATAGCTAAACGGTCCAGAAGAAATGAGCAAATAAGGGCAAATATCAAGAGTCAGTCATTAAATCAGTGCAACCACCAATTTTTCCCATACAGGCAGTATTTGCATGGCCAGACATGAAAAGAGAAACTTCAAGCATAACTCATGATATGGCTACTTAATCAGTTCTTCAAGCCCAGGGCAGCTATTGGCAGAATCCAACTCGTAATGTACTCTAACATTTCATAATTTAGACATCTCGACAATATCTTGTAATCAATAATATTGCCCCAACTCAAACTCTAACTAAACTAATGAAGCAATAAGCTGCAACTGAATCAATTTGCCCCAGAAATCTTGAAATAAATTTAAGCCCATTTAGTAAACAAATCCACATATAATAAGAGAAAAATAATTCACTAGACTTTGACATGTTAACAAAAGCTGAAATAAATAATACTACGTATAATGATTGCAAATACCTTGCATACCTTCCCATCCATACTGAGATAGAACTTCATCTTCTAATTCTTTATCACCCTCATATTCATTACCAACATCATCATCATTCTCATTTAGTGCATCCGCATCATCATTGTCATTCTCATTCAATGCAGCGCCATTATTCCTTGCTTTTCTAGTAAGAGAACTATTCAAAGACTAATTACTTGCTACAAACGCTTCATTATTTTCTTTTTACTTTTTCGGAACTCGAGGTACGCTGGCATGGAACCAGGAGAACAGAACGCTCGTTTTGTTCCCTTCTTTTCTGAGATAACATGCTGCTTCTTTTGGAAGCATTGATCTTGAACTCTAGCAACCTCAATTGAGTGAATGTTCAGAAATTCATCAACTGCATGCTTCTTACAGCTATTCACTTCCACAACATCAGCCATAGTTTTGGGGCGAAGTGATGATTTCTTTACTTGCTTTCAAAACCTATAAAACAAAAGGCAATTAAAGCATTACTAATTACATGTAAATCGTGAAAAATAATAAAAACAGTCTGTATAATGACAAAATAGAAGTGAACACCTGTTTACTGGCTTTTCTTTTTCCAGAAGTGAGATTGTCAGCTTCCATAATGTTATCAGTTTCAACCTCATTTTCACCATCATATTCTGACGTAGAGTCATCATCTTCATTTTCTAGTATACTATTCTGCCTTGCACTTGGACAAATTAAAGCTTTTGTTTTTTCTTCAAGTATCTTATTAGCTACAGATGGCGATTCTCGGGCTTCCATTCTTTCTGCATTGAAGTTTAGTTTTTGAAGCCGTTGTAGCTCATATTCAGTAAGCTGACTTTGGAAAGCAGAAACTTTGGGTCTATTCCGTTTCATTTGAAAAAAAAATGGAAGTATGTTAATTTTGTATGTAAATATAATAAATTGAAATAAATTGCAATGTAAAATAAGCTCATTCATAACAATTAGTGAAGTATTAAAATAATGTATGTCAATACCATCTGAAAACTCTCTAGGAGGGATTTGAATAGCATAATGCCAACCTTCTCTATTCAAATCTTCTACATAAAACACTTGATGTGCTTGAGTTGCTAAGATAAAAGGTTCTTCTTTAGAAATGGTCTTATTCATATTAACCGTAATAAGCTCATCATCATCCTTTTCTGAGTGAAACCATTGACATCTAAATAAGACAACACTGAAATGACCATGATAGGATATCTCAATGATTTCAGTTATTGAACCATAATAATTAACACTTCCCACAACAGGATTTTTATCTTTGGAGCTTGCAAAGCTATGTGTAATGGCTGTTAGAGTGACGCCACTGTTTTGAGTTACGAAGTTTGCATCTCGCTTCATGGTATGAAACCTATAGCCGTTAACTGAGTACCCTGTGTACTTTTTGGCAATGTGAGAGGGACCTTTTGATAACCACAAAATATGGTCTGAGATATTATCATGGCCTTCTTTAAGAATCAAATCAACTTTCTCCCTAAACCAATCCATGAAATCCTTGCTATGTTCTTGAGCACTATTCCATTTTCTTTTCCTTTTAGCATTCACACAAATCTTGTGCTCACTGTAAAAATAAAATAATTATCTTACTAACGCACTAGAGTTAGAATAAAGACACTTTAAAAAAAAAATAAAAAAAAAACCTACATTATGGTTACAAATCTTACCTTATATATTTCTGAACTTCCTCACAATCACAATTGAACAAGACATAACGATGCGCTTGTGTCCATGTAATGCGATCAATTATGTGTCCACGCACTACTAGAAATAGGCCTATTTCCGACGGACATGTTTTTCCGTCGTAAATTCTGACGGATTTTTATTCCGTCGGAAATTTACAACGGATTTCCAACGGAATACAAATCCGTTGGAATTTATGGGCTTTCCGACGGAATATTCCGTCGGAAACTTAATGTTTCGATGAAAATAAAATCCGTCGGTAATCTCCGACAGAATATTCCGTCGAAACATTTATTTTCCGGTGGAAATATAATCCGTCGGGAATTTTTTTTTTATTCCGTCGGAATATAATTAAATAATAATAATAAAAAAAAACCTAACAAACCCTAATAAACCCGGTTTTCCCCTCCCCCTATCATTTAATTTTCTCTCTCCTCTCCTCTCCTCTCCGCCTCTCTTCTCTTTCTCTCTCCTCTCTTCTTTCCTCTTCTCTTCTCTTCTGATCTCTATTCTCCTCCATTTCGCCTTCTCCTTCCTTCTCTTTCTTCTTCCTTATCCTTCTTCTCTCCTTCCTTATCCTTCTTTGTCCCCTTCGTTCTTCTTCGTCCCCTTCGTCTTCTTCGACCACCACAACAACCGGTGATGCAACAACACTACCACCACAGCAACGACACCAACAACACCAGCAGCCACGACAACCAACAACGACACCAACCTAACGGCGACACATTTTAGATCTAGGGGTTTTTTTTTTTATTTTTTTCGGATCTTTATTAATTTCAGAAGATAAATGTATATATATTTCTTTTTATTTATTTCATTTGTTTTTTTGTATTTTTTTCGGATCTCTATTGTACGATTTGGGTGTTATGAATTCTTTTTGTTTTTTTCGATTTGTTATTTTACGAATTGGTGGTTGTTATTTTACGAATTGGTGGTTGTTACGAATTGGTGGTGGCTAGACAGGGTGGGGGTCCGGTCAAGGTGGTGGGGGAGGTTTAGTTTGGACAGGTGGATGTGGGAGGTTTGGATGGGGGGTCTGGGTGGAGTGGGGTCCGTGGGGTGTGGGTTAGTAGGTGGGTCTGGGTTTGGTTTGGTTTGGTGGGTCTGGGTTAGGTGGATGTGGTAGGGTGGTGTGGATGGTGTGGGGTTAGGCGTGGTGTGGGTGTGGGTGGGTTGGAGGTGGTTAGGCGTGGTGGTGGGTGTGGATGGGTTGGAGGTGGTTAGGCGTGGTGGTGGGTGTGGGTGGGTTAGGGGGATGGTTAGGTGGGGAAGTGGTGGCTGGACAGGGCGGGGTAGGGTGGTTGGGGTGGTGCTGGATTTTTTTTTAATTTTTTTTATATGCTGTTTCAGATGGAATTTCCGTCGGAAGTTTCCGGCGGATTTGTATTCCGTTGAAAATTTCTGACGGACTTTTCGGTGGCCGGAACTCCTCTACCGATGAGAAAATTCCGTCGGAAAACACTATTCCGACGGAATTTCCGATGGAAAAGGCCGTTTTTCCTACAAATTGTTTTACGACAACCTGTTCCGACGGAATTTCTGTCGGAAAACCCGTTTTCCGACGGAATTCAGGGTGTTTCCGACGGAATTTTTCCGTCGAAAATGGCCTGTTTTCTACTAGTGACGATTTTTTTGCTTTGAGGTCCTTCCCTTTCCTTTGATAGGACGTCCTACCTTAGGGAAAAATGATTTTGAGGTACCACACTCATTAACCTCAGGTGTGGCTTTGCTTGATCGTTTCAAAAATCTAGCTATGAAAGCAATACATTCTGTAGCTTGGTATCCTTCTGCCATTAAGCCTTCTGGACGAGCCTTCTTTTGAACATCTTGTTTCATTTCATGAAGATTCCTCTCAATTCCATACATACACCTTGAACTCACAGGTCCACCCAACTTAATTTGGTCTACCAAGTGTATGGGTAAATGTTCCATTATATAAAAAAAAAAGCATGTGGAAAAATCCTCTCAAGTAGGCATAGAGTTTCAACTATCTCAGATTGCAATTTTTTGAGTTCTCGAGGATCAATAGTTTTACTCCATATACCTTTGAAAAAAATCAAAGGACTAGCAACATCTTTGGGTAATGTTGTCTTCACATCAATTGGAAGAAGATAATTCATCATAAAATGAGCATCATGGCTTTTGTAGCCTGTGTTTTTCCTTTCTCCAACTTGCACACAACGACTAAGGTTGGAAGCATAACCTTGAGGAAGCTTAGCATTTTTCATAACCCGGCAGAACTTACGCTTTTGCTCCAATGACATCCAAAAGTGAGATCTTGGAAATTCTTCACTACCATCTTCTAATTCTACTAGTCGAAGCTTTGGCATCAGATTAAGTTCTACCAAATCTCAACAAGCACTCACATGATCTTTGTTCTTCTGAGAAATGTCTAATAACGTCCCAATGACATTATCAAAGACATATTTTTCAATATGCATTACATCAAGATTATGGCGATTAGAGCAATGCTTCCAATATGGTAACTCTAAAAATATGGGTATCTTTCTCCATGGATTCAGATCATCCTCATCACGCCTTGGTTTCTTTTGCTTCTTTCCAAATGCATTTGGAAAATCACGCAACATATTCTCAATATCAATTCCATTCAATGGAATAGGTTGACATCTTTCCTCAAGTTTTCCGTCAAAATTCCTCTTATCATGACGCCAAGGGTGAGATGGATCCAAAAAATTACGATTTGCCCTATACACATTCTTACCACTACAAGGCAACCACTCAGAATCTGTTTCATAATGACATTTAGGGCATGCCAAGTATCCTTTTGTGCTCCACCCAAATAACATTGCGTAACCTGGAAAATCACTCACGGTAGTCATCAATGCTACATGCATGTCAAACCTTTGATTAGTCGAAGCATCATAAGTTTCCAACCCAAACTCCCATAAATCCTTCGAGTCCTTGATAAGTAGCTGCAAATATAGGTCAATGTCATTGCCAGGGGAAGATGGACCGGGAATTAGTAAGGCTAGGATCAAAAACTCGGGCTTCATAATCATCTAAGGAGGCAATGCAAGTTATAATTAATCAACATAATTGGCCATGTACTATGGACAATGCTCATTGAGTTGAACGGGCTAAATCCATCTGTGGATAACCCAAGCCTCACATTGCGTGGGTCATCAGCAAACTTTGGATATAAAGAATCAAATTCCTTCCAAGCTTGACCATCAACTAGATGATGTAATAGATGATCATTTTCACGCCCATCAGCATGCCAAGTCATGTATCTCGCCGTCTCCTTGACACATAAATAGTTGTTGAAGCTTTTCTTTATTGGAAAGTACCTAAGAATCTTTTGAGGAATCCTACAGGTATTTCCATTTTCATTTTGTATGCCATTCAATGTGTCATTTGATTTCCATCATGGCGTCTCACAAACATGGCAACTTGTTGCATTTTCATACTCTTCCCAATATATCATGCAATCATTTGGGCATGCATCTATCTTAGTGTAATCCAATCCCAACACTTTCAAAACACTTTTTGCTTCATTAAAAGAAGCTGGCAGTTTTGCATCAGGTAACAACTCCCTTATAAGCTCCAATATATCTCCAAAAGCAACATTAGTTAGCTTATGATCACACTTGAAAATAAAAAGTCGACTCATGAAGGAAAGTTTTGAATGATTTTTACAACCAGGATACAATTCTTCCTGGCCCTCTTCAACTAACTTAAAAAAAAAAAATTTGCCTTGTCATTTGGCCTCTTTCTAAAAGGATCACGTGCATCATGCAACAACCCTACTATGTCATCATTAAAATCATTTGGGTTTGACCCTTCATCATTATCCAAAATATTTTGTTCCCTTTCAGTGTTGATCCCTAACTCTGATAACTTATCCGTTCGTGGAACAAAACCATTACAAATAAGGTGATCACTCACAACACCTTCATGACGCCAAAAATGATAATGACAACTTTCACAAGGACAACAAATTTGATTTCCTTGAGACTTGGAAGCAAAAGCCTGTTGTACATATTCATCTACTCCCCGTTCATATTCATCACTCCATTTGGCAAACGTCCACCACTCTTTAGTTCCACTATCCATATCTTAGGGTAAGAATTAAGAGGGTTACTTTAATTAATTTTTATAGTAAAAACATTTAATCAATTCTCTAAGAATTAAGAGAGTCACTTTAATCAATTAGAAAGAACGGACAGTAAATCTGCTTTTCAACCACCGGGAAGAAAGAGAACTAATCTAAAAATCAACTTGTGCTCCACAATTTAAATTATAATCATGACTCATGAGTTGTGATACATAAGAGCATTTTCAGACATACATTTCCATGAAAAATAATATATATATTATTTGAAAAAAAATATATTTTCATTAATCGTCAACAAATTACCAATATACTCCAATGAACAAAGCTGCCAGAACCAACAACTGACAGAAACCAAAACAAACACACCATATCTACACATCATCTTCCTAAACCACTCTTGATTTTTCCTAGTTTTTACATGCTAAATATCATACAACAGGTCCTTGATAGCCATTTATGGTCTTCTGAGAAATATATTACAGTAGCAATTAAGTATTAAGTCGTTTATAGCTTGATGATATGATCAGAATACTTAAAACTAGTGTATTTCTATTGCCAAGGACAACTTTATCAAGTAACTGGTGATCATTAGAGCTAGCTGCAACACTGAATAACCAAGGTGCAACACTTGATACACTAAGACTTTTGTTTCTGCTATTTCAAGAAGAGTTCACAATTAGTATACCTTTCTGTAGCACATGAAAAGAGCCTATCGCGATACTATCTAATCTAATCAGTTGAAAGGGGTGATCCTAAGGATAATGTAATCAAGTCTACTCCATCAGCAATTGTTTTGGGCACTTGTTTTTGCATAATCCCCATAATAATACATTTTCGTTTTTTAATCTTATTAACAACTTTGCCTATCAATTATTATGAGTTAAAGCTTGTTTTATTTGCTGGAAATGAACCATAAGGTAGATTAGTTAACAAGATCATTCACATAGCCCATTTGATGCAAGGAGATATTAAAAAGAGGCAAGTGTAATAAGCAAGGAGTATCAAACTTGTATTCATACAAATTTATGACCCACTTTACATTAATCTAGTAACAATGAAAAAGAAATGAGATATTAAAAAAGAGGCAAGTGTAATTAGCAAGGAAAGTTGAAAAGCCTTAAACTAATAATATTAGGGGAGAAACCATGTCAGAGTATAATCATTCTTCTAGTATTTTAAGAGCCACCATCAAATAAACAATACAAATCAAGATAAACAAATGGACTAAAACATGACAAACAATAAGAGTATCAATATGCTATAAATCACTGGGGCAAATTAATTGATAAACTACAAAAGCCCAACTCCTTCCTATGTCTGATCAAACACTAGATCAAATTAACAGTATTCACTAACACACTACTAGGAACAATATTCCGAATTCGATACACCATATTTTCAGAAACTGCTTGCCTCAAACCCTTCTCATGTGAATTACATCTGTATTCAGACCCAGACTTCTAAGCCTCTTTTAAAGCCCTCGGTGCAGCTATTATTCACACACAGACAATGATACACATCTCAAAGAGTGAATAACAATAATTTCTAATAATTTCTGTTAAATCTAAAGGCTTTGGGTGACTTCTTTAACTAAATAGTAAATAGGAGGACACATTGGAGTAAAAATGCCAAACCCATCAATGTCTAAAGTTACTTGTCTCTTTGTAAAATCACAACAGAACTCAAAAAACAAGATTCAGAAAAATAATTCGCAAATACAAAGAACTAAGTAATTGCAGTATATCTTCTAATCCATTTATATGAAATTCCCCCAAAAAAACCATTAGACTACTCAAATTCGAGTTGTCATGGAAAACATTACTCACTCAGATCGTTTCTCACCCAACTCGTTCCCTCTCTACAAATACAAATTTGAACTAAGTAATTTCATCTTCGTATTACCATAATTTATGGCCTCGAATAGAAATTTGCAAGCACAACAGCTAAAACTTCAAATTAATCACCACGACATGCAACAACAAAAAATTTTAATTAAGCAATCTAAAAAACAAAACTATGTCGTATACCTTAAACAACACTTCGAGCAATCAACCACAAGGCAGGAACATGCAAGATGAAAATGGGAGTTGCCGAAACCGCCTAAAACTCGTAGCCACCGCCTGAAACTCGTAACCACCACCTGAAATTCAAGCAATCAGCCACCGCTTGAGTGCCGCCTTCGTCTACTTCCTCAGATTTCATTGTTTAATTTTCCTCTCAAAAATTTTTCAATAATTTTCCTACAGTAATTTAGGGCTTCAAAAATGGAGAATTGGGGGAAAATGGGTATAATGCAAATGATGTGAGAAAATGGGTTTAGTTTGGAGAAGCAGCTTTCTTACTTTTCTAATTTTCTTTTCTTTTTATTTGTCTTAGAATAGGAACACGTGTAAGGGGTTTTAAATTTTTGGAGTAAAAGTAGAGGGAAGTCATGAAAATTTCCGCGCCATTTAATTTTTCATTACATACTGTTGCATCAGCTTTCTTGGTTGTTGAAATAGCTAGGCTAATGCAACGGTTCTTTAGAGCCGTTGTATTAGCTCTACCTCTTAGAATATTAGAGGTGAATCTGTTGCATTAGCCTATGCTATTACAATGGTAATTAAACTACCGTTGCGTTAGCCTTAATTTAGCCGTGAGGTCAAGAATGTAGTAGTGCATCAACATGCATACCTCTAGTTAGGAGGTTTGCTTTAATTGGAATACCATTTACAGCTAATTTCCACTTAAAGATGTAATTTTGGTGGGATTTCCAAAGGCCATATGATTTTATAAACATCAAAGGCTTCCTTTTCTATGTGATGATTCCATGATTCCATTTAAATCTGTAAGAAAAGCATAACTAGACTTAAATGTATATCTTCTAGAAGGGTGTTGAGGCCAATAGAGAAAACCATTTCAACATATATGTTGTGGCAAATCTATTGTGGTGAAGATCTTTTGTGCACTGTCCCATTCAAAATGCTCCCAAATAATTCCTACATCTTAGGTATGAGATCTATGTTCAATAAGATTAAAAATTGTCCACTTTGCACTTTGTCGAAGGCTTTGATTAGTCTTAACTGCATGAAGTAATACCATGAACGCAATTCGAACTAAGGGCTAAAATATCCTTACAAGACATAATTTTGCAAGCAAATCCTTTACTCATTTTGAGAGAAAGTTTATGCATACTCTTCCGCACCCAAGAAAAAGAAGAAAGGACTTTCTTCCTAGTATTCCCCGTGCACAATAGCCAAGTGAAATTTGCATTGTAAACCCTTGATGCCAGAAGTTGTGGGTTAGTATGCATCCTTTGAACCTATATAAAGAGAAAAGCATCATTATATACACATTTACAGAGCGGATACCTAGTTAGGCCTCCTATACCTTTAGATAGCTATACCGTTTTTTCTGTTAACCCAATGTATTCTTTTATCATCACTCTTTGCCCACCAGAACCTAGTGATAAGTGAATCTAGCTTATTTGCAATTACCAATGGCAATTTGAAGTATTTCATAACATGAAACGAAATATCCTAAAGAACAGAGTTAATAAGAATTAACTTTGCGTTTTCAGATAGCTTGCATTGCACCCAAGAGATAATTTTCTTTATAACTTGTTCCTTTATAACTTGTTCATCAACAAGGTAGATGAAATATTGCAACTTTATTTTTTTTTCCCATATTCTATTGAGACTCCTAATAAATGTTTCCCAATACTCTCTGTAAACCGTAAAAAAAATTCAAACCTGCAATATACAAATAAAGAAGGAGAAAAATATACGAAAACGATGATTTCATTATTGATAATTTGTAGGTTACAATTCTGGTATATCTCTTAATTCCTCTCTCCAAAACGCTAAGCTAGAGTTTTGATGTGTTTAAAGTACGGGGGTCTTGCCGGCTTAATCCATACAGTATACCTACAATGTTTGGTAGTAGGGAGGAGATGGGGCCTTTGTGTTTATAGTGCGGGGTCTTGCCAGCTTAATCCATACAGTATACCTACAATGTTTGGTAGTAGGGAGGAGATGGGGCCTTTGTGACTTATTACAACCCACTTTATATAAAGAGTCGTAGTAAACAAGATAATTATCAAATTTTTTACGAGCATCTGAAGATAATATCTTATATTTTTTTGATATTATCTCCTTATTTACATATTTCTTACATCGAAAAATCAATAAAATTTTGGTGTCAACACTCTCAACTACCGCGACCCTAAGGATATCCTTAAAGGATTCTACTAACCCCGGGGACACCAAAATTTGACAAAAGATTTGCTAAAATTAATCTGCTGATCCGAAGCCTTGCCAAACTATGAAAGAATGTCTGCTATAGTAATACAAGAATTAATCCATATCAATCTTGAAAAAGAACATTGCATCATCTGCAAAAAAATAGATGTAAGATAGATGGTGCTCTCCTTGAAATTATACAGTCCTCTCTCCTCCTTCCTTTCTTCCTAAATCCTAGCCTCCATTGTCGATTTTTTAAGGGGTTTTCATCAGTTTTAACTGGTGGAATTAAAACTTATGAGATGAACTTTTCTCTCTCAAAAGACAGGCTTCGAAAGACAGTACAAGGGTTTTTCAACCTCTTTCGAAAGACAATTCGATGGACAAATTTCTTAGTTTTAAATTTGTGATAGTAGATCTAATGGATTGTCGTGAAATTGTTTCGTTGGTGAAAAACTATGCAAGATCGCAAAGGTTATCAAGTTTTTGAATACAATCATATAAATTAATTAGAAGGAAAACATCCTCTTGACTACAAAGGGTTGTTAGATTGCTTGTCTCTCCAACAAGATATAAGGCTGTATTTTCCAGCGATATAAGCGGGGAGATGCTCCACAATTCAATAACCTTTTTATCGGTAGAACGAAGATATTCTCATGGAGCATTTTGTACGAATAATAGAAATGGAGAAGAAAGGAATTGAATCATTTAACATGACACTTACCTTTTCACTTGTTTGGTTTAACCATTGAAAGGAGAATCTTTTAAACCTAACTCTCTTTTTTTTATTTGGGGGAGGGTAAGGATAAGTGTTACATTGGGTTTTACAGAGGTAACAATACAAATAGGTGAAAATCATTATTCCTAGGTAATGGTAATTGTTACATACCCAAACCTTCTAACCAAACACATGATAATAGTAATGGTTTAGTTAAATATTTTCCAACCCAGAACACACTCTTACCAAACATGTTCTTTTTCTAACAGGAAACCAAACATGTTCTTAGTATTAGTTATTCTTTTAATTTTATTTCTTTTCCGTCATGTAAGAAGAGATGGTAATAGTGTAGCTCACCATCTTGATAAGGTTAAGCCTTTTGGTGTTGAACAAGTTTGGGTTAATCACACCCCAAGTAATGTTTTCTTGTATGTTTTGATGGATAAATTACTATCAATACATAATAAGGCTCCACTTTTTCTTAAAAAAACACTAATTAGTATGATTAAATTAATTATTAGTCAATATCCCTACCTTATAAAAAGTATAAGATTGTTCTTATGAATAGTGTGATTTCAATTTTGCCCCTTAAAAAATGTATTTACATATTTATTCCTACCTTATAAAAATTATAAGATTGTTCTTATGAATAGTGTGATTCCAATTTTGCCCGTCAAATAGTGTATTTATATATTTATCCTCGTTAATATGGCTAAGGTTATTTTGTTCTTCTTTCTCTTTAAACGCCCCTTTCTTTTTATTTCTCCTTCCTCATTTGCCTCTGTGCTCTATTAAAGCGACCTATGAGTTCTCCATTGAAGCGCGTACTAAACTTTCTCTCTTCCATTAAATCAGTTTATAAGGTGAGGTAATTTTGTAAGAAAATTATTGAATATCAATTTTACAATCTTGGTTTATTGGTAAGTTTCTTGTCTATGTTTTTGTTTCATCAATTTGAGTAGCGAAGAAAATTGAAATGCATGCATCTGAATCAATTGATAAATTATGCCAAATCAATGCACGTATCTCCTAATTGGCGTTTAATTATGATGATAATCACACTTTAAATTCCATAATTTCTGCTTTCATTCTTTACTATTTCTCTCCTTTGGTTAGATTGAATAATCGATTGATAGAATTTTACAACCCTTATTTACTCTATCAATTGAATTGAGATGAATTGATCGTAGAAAGGAGTTTGTTTAGGAGACACAATTAGAAGATATATATTTTATCTTGCTTTTCTTTTTTTTTTTTTTTTTTTTTTTTTTTTTTTTTTTGTTGCAGTTAAGCAGGCTTCACCCCCGGTGATGTTGTGGGTAAGCATGAATTCGGGCGTTCATCAATCATTATAGACTAAAACCCGTGCATTTGCTGAAGAAATATATGCTCGTGCTCTTCATAAGAAAATTTGGTTAATGTGAGTTTGGTATTGAATTTGATCTATTGTTTTAAGATGTTTCCCTTAACCATTTTGAGGTGCGATAGAGTAACTTGATCTACATATATATTAAAATTAATTAGGCCTTAGAATTTCATGTTTATTTATGTGATTTTGCTAAAACAGAATGTATGTCAGGTTTAATTGAAGTTATTTTTGTTTGGAAGGATTAGTATAGTTTCATGTTTTTCTTTATGTATCCAACCAAACTAAAAGCCATTGGGGGGAGGGAGTCGTGGCATCTTTTAGCTTACGCTTTGCGTATACATGCTTGTTGCTTATACTTGAATTTGGTATGTGACTTTTCTATGGGTTATTGGGAGTTAATATCATACACGGGTAAATGGGTTCTTCTGCCAAGACATGCCTCATAGCCATGTTGCAAATTTATCATTGACGAAAACTTTATATATCAGACTACTAAAGCCTCGTTCATATCTGTTTTTTGGTATCATAGGTCAAACCTACGTGGAACCTTGGTCCTTCTGCGATATATTGGCAGAGTTGCAGATAAACTGACATTATATGCAAAAGATTTATATCAAACTGGAAAGGTTTTTTTTTTTTCCCTTATATTCTCTATACAATTTGGTCTTAACAGCTCAGATGCTTCAACCTAAACTAAGGTTCTGATGCTGTATGCTTTTCTGTACAGATTGATCATGATCAATTGTTGGAGTATCTACAATAAGGATTTAGGTACTCTAACCGGAATGTCATGAATCATATTCATACGCACCTAAAACAAGATCGCATGCATAACACACAAGAATCACATAATTATACCTTTGAAGCATGATCTCCACGTAGCAAGTTGATTGACAATTAGGGAGAGAATAGAGCCCCAATCGTTGCTCCTCTACTTAGTTCAAGGGAATCGAATAAGTTGTCCACCAATACTAGATTGGTTAGATGAAGGGGAAACACCATGATCACCACCTTTGCGGACAACTGGCCACCGCCACAAACCACCACAAACCACCACCACCATCGAACACACACCGGCGCACGGAGAGGAGTAAGAGCCGTGAGAGAGGGGAGAGTTTGAGATAGGCATGGCTTGTGTTTGCTAATTAGGGTTTGATATATGATCACTGAATTGTGTTACTCAATCCTAGGCACCTAGTCTATTTATAATCATATTATAATTAGACTAGGAAGTAAAGCCCATATCCTCTAATCTACTCCATATGGCCGGCCACCTAGATGGAGAAGGCCCATCATAGGCCTCTTCCTATTATGCTCAATCTAGGCCCTTTGTCTGACCTTATAGGATCCGTTCAGTTGGGCTTTAGACTATTTTACTAGCCCAAAGATTGTTAGTACCTCTAGCTATGATATAACGACGACCCAAAAGAACGAACTTAATTATCTCCATAATTTGATCCATTATATATTTAGTAATTGCACTTGAAGAAGACATAAAACCTTCAATCTCCCACTTGTTTGAGACAAGTGCGCAATATTCAAATTCCTTAAGTCAATATGCGTCGATTTGATGATATGATTGCATCTCATGTCGAGATCATATTAATCTACAAATCATTTCTTGAAATCTGAGTTAGAATTACAAATCAAATGATTACTCAACAATACATTTGAGCGCGACCACGCATTTTCTAAATTCTCCCTCTTCACGAGGCCATGACACATTCCTAATTAAATAGGTAGACTCAATCCAATCTTGTGGCAACCAAAGCTCCCACTCAACTTTTGAAGTAAACAGGAAACACCCTTTATAGTCCCCATTTGCGGCAAGACGTTATGATGTACCACAGTTAAATAAATCATTGAATGAAACCAGTGTTCCACTCATGTCAGAGGAATCCACTAATATATCTGGAAGCTCTATACTTGGACTTCAAAGTAGGTCAATAGTTCGATCATGCATATCCATGTGATTGACCGAGCATCTCTATGCCCCTATAGCACATGAAACTGCGCTATCTAATCAATCTTACATGCTAGTCCATTTATTGAAATCATTTATGTCCAATTTAGTGATTTTGAACTAGGAACTTAAATAATTTATGAATTTAGTTCACCTGTGGGGTTTCATTCACCAAATCACGCATTTGATGATCCCATCAATTCATAATTATTTTGGACATTTTATTTAATATCAAATAATAATTAAATAAGAGAAATAAAAATTTCTGATTAAACATAATTCTGCAAGTTAATGTATTACATATGTAATAAGTTTTCTAAAAAAAATACAACTTAAATTACATAACTTGCTTTAATCTAGAAGCCCTAGAGTAACTCTCATGCTTGGGCTGTGAAAGGGGTTTAGTGAGCGGATCAGTGATATTCTCATCCGTATGAACTTTGCTTGATATCTCGCCTACCAATGATCTCTCGAATGAGGTAATATTTCCTCTCAACATGTTTAGACTTGTAATGTGACCTTGGCTCCTTTGATTGCGCAATGGCGCCATTGTTGTCACAAAACAACTCAATTCCTTCTTGAGCACTAGGTACAATGTCTAGCTCAATGAGGAACTTCTTGATCCAAACTGTCTCCTTAGCTGCTTCTACCACAACCAAATACTCAGATTCTGTCGTGGAGTCTGCGACAGTGCTTTGCTTCGAACTTTTCCAGCTCACTGCTCCTCCATTTAGACAGAAAATGTATCCAGATTGGGATTTGAAGTCATCTATGTCCGTTTGGAAACTCGCATCCCTATAGCCCTTGACAATCAATTCACTTTCGCCACCATAACTTAGAAACATTCCTTTAGTTCTTCTCAAGTACTTAAAGATGTTCTTAGCAGCAGTCCAGTGTGCATCTCCTGGATTTTCTTGAAACCTGCTACACATGATTAAGTCATATGCAACATCCGACCTTGTACATATCATGGCATACATAATGGACCCTATTGCGAAGGCATAAGGTACATTAGCCATACGACTCAACTCTTCTAGCTTTTGAGGGCATTGAGTTATACTGAGCGTAATACCATGAGACATGGGTAAAAATCTTTTCTTAGAGTCTTTCATCACAAACCTGTCAAGGATCTTATCAATATAAGTCTCTTGACTTAGTCCAATCATTCTTCAAGACCTATCTCGATGGATCTTAATTCCCAATATGTACTCGGCATCTCCCAAGTCTTTCATAGAGAAACAACTCTTCAACCATTCCTTGATTGAGTCAAGCATTGGTATGTTATTCCCCATGAGCAGTATGTCATCTACATACAAGACTAAGAAAACTAGGCTGCTCCCACTGGAGTTCTTGTATACACAAGGTTTTTCTTCGCTCTTTGAGGAAACCAAACTGTTTGATTGCCTCGTCGAAACGAATGTTCCAACTCCATGATGCTTGCTTCAATCCATAAATGGATTTCTGAAGTTTGCAAACCTTTCTAGGATTTTCTAGATCCTCAAAACCCTTAGGTTGTGTCATGTACACATCCTCCGTCAAGAACCCATTCAAGAAGGCGGTTTTGACGTCCAACTACCAAATTTCGTAATCGAAAAAGCAGTAATCGCTAGAATAATCCGAATAGACTTAAGCCTTGGGTTTTACCCCATTAGGAAAGTTTACTAGGGCCCACACATCATTTTAGACATGGATTCCATTTTGGATTTCATTGTGTCAAGCCATTTCTCAGAATCAGGGGCTCGCCAAAGCTTGCTTGTAGGTTGTGGGTTCCGCATATTCCAATAGGAAAATTTTGGAATCCTCAGAGTGACCGACGAGGGGTAAGAGCAACAATTAGAAATATTCTCTTCAACTCTTTTAAGGTTCAAATGGGACGATAGGAGTCTCGCTAGTTGAATTAGCTTGCTCCGACGCATGATTTGTCAAATTAGTTAACTCATGTTCCATCGCCTCTGACGTGGTGTTATCCACATCCATTTGTTGCTCATTTCGAATTTCTTCGAGAACCACTTTACTCCCACTTGGATTTGTAGAAAGAAATTCCCTTTCTAAAAAGGCACCATCGCGAGCAACAAACACTTTGTTATCTGCGCGATTGTAGAAGTAATACCCTTTTGTCTCCTTGTGATAACCCACGAAGAACATTTATCTGATTTAGGGCCTAGTTTGTCACCTTGTAAACGTTTTACATAGACTTCACAACCCCAAATCTTGAGAAAAGACAACTTTGGAACTTTTCCGGTCCATAACTCACATGGCGTCTTCTCAACTGCTTTGGACGGGCTTTTGTTTAGTATGTTCGCAGTTGTCCCTAATGCATATCCCCATAACGATATGTGTAGATTAATAAAGCTCATCATGGATCGAATTCAATTAAAGTTCGATTCCTCCTTTCTGACACGCCGTTTAATTGTGGTGTTCCTGGAGGAGTTAATTGTGAAATAATTCCACAATCCCTCAGATGATCGTCAAAATCTTATTCACCACCACGATCAGATCGTAGTGCTTTAACTAATGTCTAGCCCAGAATTAGCCAGGACTATTCCCGTGAGTCCCCCTACAGTTAGAAGGAAGATTATAGAGAAAGTGGCATCCATCCCATTCGTACCGCCTCAACTGCTCCCTTATCCTGACTTCTCTATTAATTGGATCTGTTTTTACAAGCTGATTTTTGTACTTCATTTTGGAATTCTTTGGACTTTTCAAAGGATTCCGACTTATGTTTCATTAAGTAAATATAGCCATACCTACTTAAATCGTCAGTAAAGTAATGAAGTAGTTAAATCCACCTTTAGCTTGAACTCATTGGTCCACACACATCCGTATGTATGAGTCCCAAAAGATCACTAGCTCTTTCACTCTTTCTTGTAAAAGGTGATTTGGTCATCTTACTTAACAAGCATGACTCACAATTCTCAAATGATTCATAATCAAATAAGGATAAGAGTTCATCCTTTTGTAAACTCGGAATGCGCGATTGGTTTATGTGACCTAACCTTACTATGTTATTAGTAGGTTGGTTTTGAATCATCTGTTTTTCGCTTCTTATTGTGATCTTCTTATATCAATGTCATAAAACAAATTTAACTCATATTTAGCAAATGAAAACAATTATTACCTTGCCATGGATCAACACTTGCCCATGACAAGTAAACCAATTCAGTATTTCAACAAAAATTGACAATTGTCTCAACAAAACCCGGAAATAAGTCTAAAATCATCATAAAACAATCAGAAATTAAAACTGCAAGCTTTTCTGGCCACTTGAACTATTCTCGTGCACCTTCAAGCTCCATTTCCTTGCTAGCTTCACTTTTTGCAGTTTCTGCACAATATAAACAATGTGAGCACTGCAACTTGGTATCACATACCTAAGTGAAAGTTAAAATGTTTATAACATGAATATTAGGTAACTCTTTACCTCACAATTCATCGTAGTGGGGACATCCTTGATGGTTGAAGCACTGGCTCATTCCCCTTTCATATAATTCACTGCATGATTTTTTAATAAATCAACTAACTTGATTGTAGAATCCCCATCATCACGTGATAGTTTCTCAAGATCAAAACCATCATGTAGTGAATGCAGCATTATATCATGAACCTCATGATCTTGGAATGGTCTCCCTAACTTATTCATGTAATTGAATAGTTGAACCATCATATCCACATGAATTTGAACTGATTGTCCTGGCATAAGCTTTCTGGTAATAATCTCACCAGTAATCTTGAAAGTTTCATGCCTAATATTTCCAGTCCAAGAGTCATCATTTCTGGAAAAAATGTTAATGATTTCCTCGACATTTCCATCCAATTCCCCATCACCATGGGACTTTTCTATTCCATTGCAAAAATCAAGTAAGCATTTGAATAAGAGATAAGGTTCATAGTCCATAAATCTTCTAGCCCAAACCTCCAAAATAGAAGATAATATAACAGACACGACTCTCTTAGATTCTGAAACATTTCTTAAATATTTCTTAGGAGTCATGCTTGGGCTAAATCTGCCCTCGATTGGTAAGTCTAAACGAGATTCAAGCTTTTCGTTCCTTAGAACACTTCTAAGTTCGTTTTCCCAATCGTTGAAGTTGAGAAAATAGCCTCGTTCTCATTGTTGGTGGTAAAGTAGTGTTGTCAGGATTGCTATTCATCTACAAAAGAATAAGGCAATGTTCAATAATTATGTTTAATAGAATTAAAGTACCATAAATGAATTAAATAGGTTACTTTAAAGCACTTTATTCAATATTAAATGGTCCCAATTGAATTAAGTAATTCCAAGACCCTTTATTTGTGCAATAATTGACCAGACTTTGGCCCTACCATCAACCATTACATTTTCAAGGTGAGTAAACTTTTTATTAATTGCAACTCTTGGTTGAATAATTAACCATCTCATGTTCAATTATTACCCTTTGCTTCAA